TAGGGTTTAGGGTTTGGGGTTTAGGCTTCACGCGCCGCACCTCCAACGTAAACCCTAAACCCTCAGACCCCAAACCCTAAACCCTAAACCCTCGGAATTTCGTCTTTTTCTTGTTTCACTTCAACCTTGAGATTCTCCAAACCCTAAATCCTAGGGTTTTTCTAGTCCCATTTCAATTCCCAAACCCTAAACCCTGAAGGTCTTCTCGTTCTAAACCCTTAAACCCTAAATCTTAAACCCTGGAGTTATTCTTGTCTTATTTCAACCTATAAATCCTCCAAACCCTAAACCCTAAACCCTAGAGCTTATTTCATTTCACCCTCAAACCCTCTAAACCCTAAACCCCAAACCGTAAACCCCAAACCCTAAACCCTAATTCCCAAACCCTAATTCCTAAACCCTAATTCGCAAACCCTAAACCCCAAACCCTAAACCCTAAACCCTATGCCCCAAACCCTATACCCCAAACCCTAAACCCTAAACCCCAAACCCTAAACCCTGAACCCTAGAGATCTTTTCTCATTTCGACACCTAAATCCTCTTTGGCGAATCCGCTTGCATGCAAAGCGCCGAGGAAGTCATTCTGGGTTTTTGCATGAAGTGCCTGCGGGGTGGAAATGAGCATTTGGATTCGAAAAAGCGTTAAAAAGCACTTTTTTGAATGGAATTTAAAAAGTAAAAGAATTAAAGCAACAAATAAACAATTTTAATTCGTTTTTCCCCTTCAAATTCCACTTTTTCGCGGTTTTCCGCCCCGCATTCCCGGAATTCAACTTTTCAACTTTTCAGGTTTCGAGTGGTTTCGACCCGTTTTTCCCCGATTTTTCGGAAACTTGAGAAACTAAAAGCAAAGGAATTCGAATTATTTATTTATTTTCGAATTCTCCGCCAAAAATTACCTTGATTTCCCGAATTTGGTTCAAAATTTGAATTTCGGAGTTTTGCTTTCGGGAGAGCGCGGACTTGAGAGGGGCTGAGACTTGGGCGTTTTCGGCTTTTAGACTTTTCGCCTCATTTGCCTTTGAAATTAAAACAATTAAAACAAATAAAACAAAAATTTTAATTCATTCTTCAAATTCTTTTCAAATTCTTTTCAAATTCGAAAAACGGACTTCAAATTCGCCAAAAAGCGCCAAAAATCGAACAAGTCCGCAATTTGCACTTCACCATTCAAGTGGGAAACACAAATAAATTAAATAAATAAATAAAT